TGCTGCTTGTATGTTGCGAAGACGAAGACAGTCTCAAACACTCCACTCCTCCTCCCATCTCGTGGGACACATCGCTCCTCTCCCTCTTGCTTCTGGCCGGACCTCCTCCACCAAATTGTGCAAGAAGAAGAGCACAAATGATTCCTCCCGATGCAAGACCCAGCAGAGAGTCTCACCCCGCCTCACACGGCATGCTAACCCGCAGCCCGTGAGAGGCACAAGACAATGAGAGGGCACTACAAGTGCTTTCAAGTGTTGGGATATAGAGAGTACGTCCTACAGCAGCAGTAACAGCACTGACTCTCTGCATCGTTGACCACCTATCATAGCCACCCTCTATGCCCAGCGGCGCCCAACATCGTCGCGCGTTACCGCTCAACCATACCTGGCATGGTCGCGCCATGTCCGCCCGCTACCATCTCTCGTCGGTGAGGTCGTAACGGCGGGGCGCAGCGCCTCCACCCGACCGCAGCAAGGCCTTGTGCGAGGTCCACCCAACGATTGCGGGAGCTATGCCGGGACACATTTGAAGTTATGGAGGCAGATAACTATTAGGTATGCTCTTCTCTGCCTTGTCTGAACCCAGTAATCCCTTACTCTATACACCTCTGTACTTTGATTGCTATATATTTATGCACCCCTACAAATTTTACTTTATTGAAAACTTCATTCAAAATATTGCTTGAAATTTAAACTGAAGGAGATGAATTGGGGGGAAGGTGAGAGGAAGGTAGTTTTGTCCGCATTGATTGGGTCCCCAAAGGGTCAGGCAATGTGACTTCGGTTTGACCTACCTCTTTGTTCGTTCTGTTTCCTCTGCAACTAAACAATGTGGCTTCGATTAGATCTATTTGCTGTAATATTTGTTGATGTCTCTTCTTCACAGCCAAACAATGTGACTTCGGTCTTGCTTGAATGTTGTATTGTTCGTCTTCTTGGCAATCAGACAATGGGATACGATCAGGTCTGATTGCCATACCGCTGTAAGTTGTTATCCGTGCAACTAGGCAATGTGGCTTTGGTTTGGCTTAGCTGCTATGTCATCTTATTCCTTACTCCAACCGGACAATGTGGCTTCAGTCAGGTCTGGTTGTTGTTCTTTTGATGATTTGCCTGTTACAAGAGTTTAAGAGTTGGGTAATGTGGTTTCGGTCAGATCCAACTACTGTTTTTTTTCTAAGGGAAGTTTGGACTGATAACAAAGCAATGGAACGGCAGGCCAAGTTATCAGACCAGGACAAAGATTGGACGAGGGTGTTTGTGTGCGTGCTTGGGGGGAGGGGGGTAAACGGAAGGGGGGGCGGGGAATCAAGAGAGAGTAGACAAGGAAAGCCAGAAGGATGACAGGGCTGATGAATTGGCGTCAAGACGGTGTGCAGTGCAGCGGGGAAAGGAAGCAGCATTAGGTTATCAACGTACCAATGGTTAGGATAATAACTGGTCTTTGTGAGAGGGAGTTTTAGATTATCAACCTACCCCTGGATTATCAGACCACTAACTATATTTAAGCTCTGATGGATGCGGTCGGCACTATACCACACTGAGTTACAAAAGCACTGCCACGAAGGAACTCCGGATGTCGTAACCTTACAGAGCTTTCAGCTACAGTCACAACACACAACAGTTCTTTGATATTAGCATGCCACACCCCACCGGTACACAACACAACATGCTTAAAAGCTTTGCTACGAGATCCCACTGGTGATATGTTCATGCTACGAAAGTACGAACCTGGTCGCTATTATGCCCAGGTTTGTGCTCTCTAAGCATGAACACCGCACCACTGAGGCCTGATCTTCAGCTACATGGGCATGATGTCTATATGTCGTAATATCCAGATTCTCCTTGGTGATGATTTCTCGACTCAAGATGGACGAAAGCTTCTGTAGGTCAATCACAAGAGCATCATACTTTAGTGGGCCTTGCACTTCTGTTTGACATATATATGCATATGTACATATACGTTGCAAATGGCCGACCAACATCATTTGGATAAGCTGCAATTTTTTGCCTCACAACGAACACACCACATGGGTGATCTGCAATGACTGATCAGCGAATGGGCCCAAATATTTTGGGCTTGCAACACCATCGAGGTGATCTGCCAATTGTTGGCCAGCATCCAGCACACCAACCTGAGATCCCCGCCAATCTTTGTGGTCTGCCTGCTACTAATATCTATCTTTACATTCTCAACCACCGGTTTTATACACAGTCAGACTTCCTTGCAATTGCCCTTCAGCTTGATGCTGATCTTCCCCGCCTACAGCCAGAGGATTGTAATTATTCCAGAGAAAGAGGATTTACCACTGCTGTCCTACAAGTAGCAATGACGGACCGCGACTTGAACTACACAATGCTCACGTAGGCGAGTGGTTTAATTCTCCATCCCACATCTCTGCCTACATCATACACGGACCACGCCATCGTACATGCCTCTGACCACTGGGAGCTGTGGGACAATGGCATCATGGTCCATGCCATGACTGATGTTACTGATGTACGTCCGTCCGTCCGCCCGCCCGCCTGCCCGCCCATCTGTCCATCCCTCCGTCCCTCCCTCCCTCTGTCCCTCCCTCTGTCCCTCCCTCTGTCCATCCCTCTGTCCGTCAGCCCGCCCGCCCCCCGGCCCACCTCTGTCTGTCTGTCTGTCTGTCTGTCTGTCTGTCTGTCTGTTTGTCTCCGCCTCCCCGCCTGTCTATCCCTCCCTCCGTCCTTACCTCCGTCCGTCCGCCCGTCAGCCAGCCCGCCCGCCCACCCACCTCTCTCTCTCTCTCTCTCTCTCTCTCTCTCTCTCTCTCTCTCTCTCTCTCTCTCTCTCTCTCTCTGTGCTTGAGCAGGTGAGTGGGGTTTAATCGTCTATCCCACATCTTTGCCTGCATTGAGCACGGACATGGCCATTGTACATGCCTCTGACCACTGGGAGCTGTGGGACAATGGCATCATGGTCCATGCCATGACTGATGTTACTGATGTACGTCCGTCCGTCCGCCCGCCCGCCTGCCCGCCCATCTGTCCATCCCTCCGTCCCTCCCTCCCTCTGTCCCTCCCTCTGTCCGCTCCCTCCCTCCGTTCCTCCCTCCCTCCCTTTGTGCCCTCTTAGGGCTGTCTCTTATACACATCTAGATGTGTATAAGAGACAGGTCCCTGCTATCTCACGGGTAGTTCCGCCCGCTTCTCCACACGCGGCACATTTCTTCCGCTCTCTCTCTCTCTCTCTCTCTCTCTCTCTCTCTCTCTCTCTCTCTCTCTCTCTCTCTCTCTCTCTCTCTCTCTCTCTCTCTCTCTGTGCTTGAGCAGGTGAGTGGGGTTTAATCGTCTATCCCACATCTTTGCCTGCATTGAGCACGGACATGGCCATTGTACATGCCTCTGACCACTGGGAGCCGTGGGACAACGGCATCATGGTCCATGCCACAACTGATGCTACTCCTTTCTTACATAATGATGCTGTTTTCTCGCCATACCAAACCGTCTGCAGTATCTTTTATGTCGGAGATCATGCCCCTGGCCACGTGCTGCCGCAGGACAGTTCACCAACACTCTGCAACCTTCTCCTTTGCAAAACTGCAGACACTGTTACACTTGGCTGTAGCCGCAATAGTCTCTGCCACAATCACTACAATGACCTGGTTTCTGCATGAGTGTGTAGAGGACTGCCCGCCCGTTCCTGACTGCAGGCGCCCTCTGAATCCGGAGACTATACACCCATTTTGCAGCCATGGGCGTTACACTGAATGCATGGTCTTTTGCGGTGCCCGTTCTGCCTTCATGTTGGCCGGCAATCGACATGCCATTTGTAGGGAGTGTACGGGGGGGGGCATCCTCAATGTCAGACGTCGTGGCAATAGTTGTACTGAGAATGCTCAGCTAGGTCTTCCATGTGTTCATCCACCTCGTCCTTGCAATGTATGTCCCCTCTGTCGTCAAGGACAGACTGATTCTTGAGCCTTTTCTTATCCTCTCCTTTGCTTTCATCCTTATTCCATCCTCCATGCGTTCCCTTACGGCCTTTTCTCTTCCTTTGCTGTCTTCTCTCCATCTCTTCTGTGTTTATACCCTCCCGCTTTACTCTGCCTCTTTCTCACAGTGTACAAGTGGGCCATTATGGCACATGGGGATGCGAGCAGCTCGCTCTCAACTTCATCAACGTGGCGAGCGGCACAGTACAGGGGGAGTAAAATGAAGAATGATCCTTTGGGACATCCTTTAAAATTGGAACGATACAGAGAAGATTAGCATGGCCCCTGCACAATTTCAAAAAAAAAAAAAAAAAAAAAAAAAAAGGGTTTCAGTGTGCTCTTCATGTTTGCTTTGTGTGAAATTGTAAATTTCTCGTTTGTTTCACAAAGTCCACTCTTTTAGTTCATAGATACATGACAATGAGGGCAGTGGTTGGTGCCCACCGCAGGGTATCAGTTGTCGGGCAGTCGTTGATGCTTAACCACAACTGGGGTTAAGGTGGATTATAACTTACAGAGTAATCAGTTAGGGGGTTCTGCAGACTGTTGAAGGTTCAGCCTCCTGATGAGTTTTGTCACAGCCCTCGTTTGTTGTCCTCTTCTCCCTCTATGCCTACGGTTTGACGAACAGAGCTGCCCGGTAAACCGTAGGCAGAGAGGGAGAAGAGGACAACAAACGAGGGGCTGTGACAAACTGTTTCATCGGAGTTTCACCGACTATACATTGTCAAACAGTATATATATATATATATATATATCATCAGACAGAGCTGCCCGGTAAACCGTAGGCAGAGAGCGAGAAGAGACGACAAACGAGGGGCTGTGACAAACTGTTTCGTCGGAGTTTCACTGACTCATCAGGAGGCTGAACCCTATATATATATCGTCACAAACAGAACTGCCCGGTAAAACCGTAGGCAGAGAGAGAGAAGAGGACAACAAACGAGGGGCTGTGACAAACTATATATATATATATACACACACAAAGATGGTGCAGGAGAGAGATGGTGAGCATTTTTCAAAACTCAGAAGTAACAATAGAGCGACAGCTCAAGCCTTAAGGAAGAACCAGAACAGGCATGCTTCATCAACAGCCGGAAGGAAAACAAACAATTGAAATTTGAAAGTCCATAGACACCAGCATGTCATCAAGTCCTTCGGTGTCCAGATAGATACGCTCGTCTCCTTCTCTTTCTTTTACTTGCCTTGCTCTTCGTGTCTTCCCCAACTTTATCCTGCTCACTGCTTCTCGCCACTATTTTGGTGGATATGCATGCCTCGACGGATTTAGGTGATCAAAACTGGGATTTCTCCAGTCACTGCAACTTTGCACCAGCGCAACAGTCGCAACTCAACCAAGCCTTCAATCATCAGACTCCTCAGCAACTTTTCGCCGCCTGCAGACCACCACCTCTACTGCTACTTCGAATCAATGACAGACTATTTTCCACCACGTTCCGAACCGACTCCCAATCGTCATTTTAACCGAACTTTGCAATCATCGTACCTTTACCGGCATCCTACCACTCCTTCAAACAAATTCGACGGTTTGATACCAAGTGCTTCGGTCCACATAACATAGCCGTCTTCGAGGCTCCTCGCCTCCTGAGCTTTTACATTTGATCAAACGCGTGCCTGCAAAATAACTACCTGAATGTCTGTGTATGGCCCTCATCACCAATCCGTATCTCATACCATGATTCGCCCTAGCAATAGGGAAAGCCTCACATGTCGCTCTCTTCTGCTTGGGCAGGTTCCCTGATTCCAAAGAGCTTCCCTATCAACGGTCACTAGAATTCATTAACTGATGAAGAACTTTTCCGTGCTCTGGATGCAGCAAGCACTCTTCTTATCCTCGTTGTCTCTGTCCACTTTCGCAGCACCCTCTCTTGCAACAAGCATGACCTTCCGTGTTCTGAATGCAGCACTCTCCTTTTCTTTTGTTGTTTTTCTTCCGAGTACCGATGGGATCGAGCGCATTGGCCATGATACGACCGTACCATAAAAATTTGGACCATTTCTTGATGTACGTGAGTCATCCTTGCGCAGGGGACATGCGGATGTCCCGAGGGGCCGGATGACAATGCAGCACTCTGCTTATCCTCATTGCAGTCCGAAATCCGCAAGCAATTGCAGTCCTTTGGAACAGGCACGAAACCTGCTTCAACATCAGGCAGCTGAGCTTTGAACAGTTCTACGAGAGGAATTTGGCGAAACGGCCAATGGCAGAACACCTGACCCCACTGTAACTACTGACAAACTGGAGTTCTTTGTGCATCTGCAACCCCCCCCTCCCCTCTCAACACATATGTACTCTTTACACCCCCTGCAGCCCAAGAAGGGGTATGCTTAAACCGGACCAGCAGTTCTATGTGCATCCCCGGAACTTCTGAAAGGGGGCAGCAGTGAAAAACACTTGAACCTCCAGTACATGGCCCCAGCCAACTTGAAAATCATGATTGACCCACTCCTACAATTTCAGAGGCTCGGGGCAACCGGACCAAAATGGTGGCGCCGCCAGCCAAAACAGAAAACAAAAATGCCATGCCGGCGTTTCGGCAAGCTTGGGGGAATCCGCCTCGTACAAAAGAGGCCTGGATGTACTGGTGGTTTAAACCACAAGTACTTGGCCCAGCTATTGGCTGCGGAAAAAAGATAGAGTAGAAACATTTCTAGTTGGATGAATTTGGGCACTCCTATAGTGGCCCGTACGTTTCCTAAAATTGTGGCTTGTTGACGGGCACAACTTCAGGAAGTACTGGTGGTCTAACCACGATTCCTTTCTCACTGTGCTGACCGTTCAGGCTTACGAGAGCCTGGCCTGCAGTTGACATCAACGTCAAACATAAAAACACAGTGAAACTGCAGTCCTCGAGTGCCAAACCATGAACGGACAACCTCGGTTTGGGCATCTCGACTAGCGTGCCTAACCCTCTACCATGAAGTTGGACCGTTCGCACAAGATGCCCAAAGGTACAACACTGCAAAACTGCAGTCCTGTAGAACAGAGCTGCAGATCACAAGCCCTTGGCTAGTTGCCCAGCCACCCTCCATGAAGTTCACCTGTTTGATTGATGCCCACATGCCATCCACATTTGCTATAATTCCCCCCGATGCCCACATGCCCTCCACATTTGCTATAGTTCCCTCCGATGCCCACATGCCCTCCACATTTGCTATAATTCCCTCCGATGCCCCACATGCCCTCTGCATTTGCTATTCCCTCCCATGCCCCCATGCACTCCACATTTGCTATTCCGCCCAGCCTTGTAGACGCACAGCAACAGATAGCTCCCATGCCAGTAAGTCCATGAATGGTTCCCGTCCAGAGCCCGCCGCAACGCATATTAGAGTACCTCGCAACACATCAGACATGTCAGGACAGGTTTCTGGATCCCCATCATTGTTCCTGTAGACGAATTGTTGCGACTACCAACACCAAGCGACAAAAGTCTGCGACTGCCAGCTCTGGGCAACAGAAGTTCTGAGGCCCATTACGAAATGGAATCGGCAAGAGTCCTCCGCTGCATGGCCTCACACACTGCACTTGCAGGGTTGACATGTGCACTTGGAGTTGGTAAAAGTCCTCAGCAGAATCGCCGCACAAGCTGCACTCCAATCAATACCAACATGAAGTCCTGCTCTCTAATGACGGACTTGCAGGATCAACAGGCGCTGGCTTTGATGTCCATGCAGAGGTAGGGTTGCGCCGATGGAAAGAACCTGAGAGTTTGACTCTGTGGGTGAAATGTGGTATTGCTTCCCTTCCCTTTCCTCCCTTTCCAACTTCTGCACTCTGTCAAGTGCCGAGAGTAGTCTCTGAGCTCGCAGTTCTGTCTGACACAAAGGAAGGGAGACAAGGCGGCGAAGAGCAAAAATGCATAGAACGTGACACCAATGCAGTGCCACCTCCCTCACTCTCGGCACTGTGTCCATTGCTCAGTGCAATTGCATCAACTGAGTTTGCATGAACTGGGCTGATGTAATTGGTGGGCCACAAAGAGGAGGAAGAGGAGGAGGAGGAACAGGAAGTGAGGAAAAAGGAAACATGTGAGGGTGGATGAGTGAGCAGCCAAGCGATCATTGTTACAAGGGCGCTCAATCAAAGCCACCAGACTGAGCAGGCATGTGTGTTTGTGTGTGCACGCGTGTTGTCATGTTCGCTTTCCTCGACTCCGAAAAAAAAAGCATGACTGCCAAACTCTTTCACCGGACTTTCACCAACTCATCTGGAGGTTGTGTGCGTGTGTGCGAGCGTGTGTGTGTATGTGAGAGGGAGAGAGAGCGAGAGAGAGTGAGAGAGAGAGAGCAGGGTAGAGTGCAAGAGAGAGAAGAATTGCACAAGTGAGCTTTCTGTATTTCCCTGCCTATCGCAACAGCATCATGCATGTTTGTACAAGCAGAGCTCCGAATCACCCGAAAAGACAAATCCTACAACTCGACACGACAATGCTGCCGTGAATTTGGAACTGGCCGCCAATGCACGTATCCGATCACTAACAACCAAAAAGCCTCTGAGAAACAAATGACAGTCAGAGACTGCTGCTTTACAGAAAAGGGCAAAGGACGAAAACAATGTGCCAGTTTCAACCTGGCAGCCAATTCTAATCTCCCTGCACAGCGCATCAGCAGGGACCACAACAACATACAACGCAAACGAACTTTCAAACGAGCTTTCAAAGACCATCTGCAATTCATTCACATGTTTTGCAGACGCCTTGCGAGACCTCCAGGTCTGAAGTTTCTTCCCCTTCCTACAACACACTGCTAGTACATCACCGTATTTCTACTGCTTTGCTCATGCTAACAACAGACACCATAATCTTCCTCTGTTCTTGAGCACAAAGATATAATTACAACTTGAAAGAATGACCGCAGCTCCCAACAACCCCATCCCCCTCAAAGCAACAACCCCTTTTACGGTCGCACACAATTGAGTAAGCTAAGTCTCCTTACCATCGTGTTGGCAGAAATCGAAACACGTTTGTAGTTGGCCGTGCATGAACTCAATGATCGCCAAGGAAGGCAACATGCGTGAACTCAATGATCGCCAAGGAAGGCAACATGCGTGAACTCAATGATCGCCAAGGAAGGCAACATGCGCGAACTCAATGATCGCCAAGGAAGGCAACACCAGCTGCACAGGCAAAACATGCTGGTCTCGTAGATATGCTCATAGGCCAAGAGTTTGGAGCTGAAAGAGAGATCCAAGGTTGGTGTTCATAAAGAATCAAAGCACCTGAGTTGAACAGACAAATAATCGACCGATCCTATCACTGTCCTGATGACGAGCTCTTGCCGTTGCGATGCCGTTCCCTCGGGGGAACCTGCAGCCAGCTCTTCATCCCATCATACACCGTGAAACCCACAGCGACTGCAGGAACCATCTACACAAGCCAAAAGACACAAGACAGGAACAAAGAGCACAACAGGGAAAAGAACCACACACCTTAAGGCATGCCAACTTGTGGTTTCTGAATCGCTAGACACAGATATTTGGTATGAGATATTTGCAATGCACCCACACACCCACGCACAGGTGCACATACACTTGCACACACACACAGTCAAATCATTATTATTAATATTATTGGTATTATTGGTATTATTGTTATTAAACCACTAGTACCTCCAAGCCTGTTTTTACTGACCCTGAATTTCTCTGCGCTCCGAGTTTGCCGGGCCTGGGTACCACTCCGTTTTCTTTCTGGTACTCTCACGGAAAAGACAACAACAAAAGAATGTGAGCCCACAGCCCGCCGTGAGCATCCTGGGCCTCTCAGCAAGGATGGCCGCCCTAAGTGAAGGCGGCCCTGTAAAATCACATAAGGCCTATTTCGACCTTTTTCGCAAAGTGGGGCAGGGACAGTTATGCTGCGTCAGTTGGTTGAATGAACCCAGGCCGTGGGCAACAGTATCCGGTCAAGGGCTTCTAGGCCCTTCCTATGTTTTTGGGCACAGGCCCTGGGGCAGACACGGGGCACAAACTGCACGCAGCACGCTTGGCGGTTGAACACGCGTAACCACCCGGGACCCTGTGGAATACTCTGGCCTAAGGCACTTGGGGCCTACCGGAAGCTTCTGGGCAAGGGCCCAGCGCAGCAAGGCAGCACGCAGCAGGCAGGCCACTTCCATAAAGGAAAGTGCCTGCCTCCGCATTTGGATTCAGGCACTCGCTGCTTATGCGCAAGCGCTGCTGCGCCAGCTGCTGGAGCGAGTGCCTACGTGCTCACGGGCGAGCAGGGAAGAAGCAGGCAGCCATAGCCAAGCTGGCCTGCGCGTTGCTGGATGGGTGCATGGTGGTCCTTGGGTGCACGTGGCATCTGTATGGGGGATCGAGGTTGTGAGTGAAGTGTGAGACATACCTGGTGCTTGAGGCGAACGGCATTGGCCGAGATCTGCTCGTACTTCGGGAAGCTGTTGACGTCACCAGCGGCTTTGTAGATAGGCTAGATAGGATCTGCCATTCGTGGTCTGGCCGAAAAGAGCGCCAAATAGGGATTCGGCATTGGTTCCTTGTTGATGATGATGAGACTATTCCAACATTGTCACTTGTGAGCTTTTGCTGTGCTCTTATTTGGTGGAACTCAAGTTGCAATTCTGCTTTTGGTTCGAGGTCAAGACTATCTGGTTTCATGTGTATGATGCTGCTTGGTTTCTGGAATTCGCTATCGCTCATTTTCCTTGCATTTTGGTATCGGAGCTGTGGTACGTTGCGCTAATCTGGCACTTGTCTTCTGCTGATGCGGTGCATGCACGTGGTTAGCTGGGTGAGCGCCTGTGGGTAGTGTGCAGTGAGGAGGGCGAAGACAAGCAGGCGACCCAGGTGGAGAGGGGTATCGCCAGAAAGGCTGAGTGGTGATATTGGGTGTTTCGCAGTGTGATGACAACTATCTGATCTGTGAGTGATGCTGAGGTGGAACGGCGGTATAATGCTGGTTGTGCCAAGGCAATGATTGGTCATTCACAAACGTCAACGTCAGGTCATCTGGTGAGAATATCTGTGGTTGGGGGCAGCTATTTTGAGGTACGTTGCTCTTAACCTTATCGACCCTCTTCGACACTTCTTACCGTGAGGATGTGTTCTGTCTTGAGAGTCCTCTGAGTCGGGTGCACTCAACCTTGAGAGTCGGCATTGTTCACATGGAGCGTCTGGAAGGAGAGGGCGTTGCCATCCGAAGGGCCCTGGACGAAGCACTCGGTCATGGTCACCATGCCAACCCACCGGGAGTAGAGCACGCATGCTTTGCTGCTTTGTCCTTCGTCTGCCAGCTGCGCTATAGATAGGTCATGAGGGGCAGCCCAGCCCTACAGGGGAGACAAGAACCGGACGCATATAAATAAATACTGGCGGGTTACCTTCCATTGGCTGTTGTCGACGTCCTGTTTGCGTCGTTAAATAATTCCTGAGGACCTCGGGGGCCGTCCTTAAACTGCCTCTTGATCAGCCAATCGGTAGGTGTAAGGCTCGCTGCACGCGAGAGTAAACATGGTGCAGGGCTGGCCAGCTCAGCATTGACTAGACACTCACACTTTCTGGATTGCTCAGGAACGCTGACGTCAAGCGACATCAAGAAGAACTGAGGGAGGAGTAGATTTCAGGTGATAAGTTCGGGAGCAATTCCACTCTGCAAACAGCCATGCAAATGATTCTATTTTCATTTTGATTAGTTAGATGTACAGCCATTAACACATCTGACAGACAGCATAGGTAGAACTTTCTGTTTCTCCTTATCTGCTTTCTGTTTGTGAACTAGTCAAATAAAATAGTTTCGTTTGTAGGAATCTGGACTTACCTGTTGGACCCAATTGTGTATTCTCTGACAATGCCACCGATTAATTAATTTTATTATTTTAAATCGGTCTGAACCTAGGCTACCAGCCAGGCTGCCCAGGTCACCCTCTTTTCCCGGGCAGCCCGGCCGTGCAAGGACCAGGGAAGGTCCCAGCCAAAAAAAAAAAAAAAAAAATCCAAAAAATCCTAGGGTACCAGAGTGGCCCGGGTCCACTTGCCCGGCCGGGCCAAAAAGAAATAAAAAAAATAAAAAAATAAAAATTATTTCGTAATTTAAATTTTTATTTTTAAATTTGGTAACGAATTTCGATGTGACCCTGAGGCAAAAGTTGTTCAGTTTATTTTTCTGCATAACATAGTTTTTTTCGGATTTTTTGGATTTTTTTATTTTTATTTTTTTTGGCTGGGACCTTCCCTAGTCCTTGTACGGCCGGGCCGCCCGGGAAAATAGGGTGACCCGGGCGGCCCGGCTGGTAGCCTAGAAAAAATCCGAAAAAAAAAAAAATTCAAAAAAAAATTCTCTGTTTCTTTAGTCTTGTGCCTGCTTTGCACTGTTTGCAACTCTGCATGTCTGCTAGTTAAACAAGTGGAACCCGCCACGGCTACGCCGTGGCGCACAGCAACACTCGCTGATGGCGTCTCATTTTTCTTTCATGTCCCTCTTTCTCTCTCTCTCTCTCTCTCTCTCTTTGTTTCTTCCCATGTTGTGCTT